AACAGTGACAATGGTGACAAGAGTGACAAGAGTGACAACGGTGACAACGGTGACAACGGTGAGAAAAGTGACAACAATGACAACAGTGACAACGGTTAAAGCAGTTGCAACAGTGACAATCGTGACAACAGTGACAACGGTGAAAACAGCGACAACAGTGACAACAGTGACAACGGTGACAACAGTGACAAGGGTGATAACAGTGACAACAGTGACTACAGTGACAACGGTGACAACAGTGACAGCTGTGACAACGGTGATAACCGTGACAACCCTGACAACAGTGACAATGGTGACAACAGTGAAAACAGTGACAACGGTGACAACAGTGACAAAAGTGACAACAATAACAACAGTGACAACGGTTAAACCGGTTGCAACAGTGACAACCGTGACAATGGTGACAACAGTGACAATGGCGAAAACAGTGACAACAGCGACAACAGTGACAACAGTGACAACGGTGACAACAGTGAGAACACTGACAACCGTGACAACAATGACAACAGTGACAATGGTGACAACAGTGACAACTGTGACAACAGTGACAACGGTGACAACGGTGACAACAGTGACAATGGTGACAAGAGTGACAAGAGTGACAACGGTGACAACGGTGACAACGGTGAGAAAAGTGACAACAATGACAACAGTGACAACGGTTAAAGCAGTTGCAACAGTGACAATCGTGACAACAGTGACAACGGTGAAAACAGCGACAACAGTGACAACAGTGACAACGGTGACAACAGTGACAAGGGTGATAACAGTGACAACAGTGACTACAGTGACAACGGTGACAACAGTGACAGCTGTGACAACGGTGAAAACAGTGACATTAGTGACAAGGGTGACAACCGTGACAACAGTGCAACAGTGACAACGGTAACAACAGTGACAATGGTGACAACCGTGACAACAGTGACTACAGTGACAACGGTGACAACAGTGACAACAGTGACAAAGGTGACAACAGTGACAAGGGTGACAACAGTGACAACCGTGACAATGGTGACAACAGTGACAACGGCGAAAACAGCGACAACAGTGACAACGGTGACAACAATTACAACAGTGACAAGGGTGACAACAGTGACAAGGGTGATAACGGTGACAACAGTGACTACAGTGACAACAGTGACAACAGTGACAACGGTGACAACAGTGACAACGGTGACAACAAGGACAGTTGTGACAACGGTGAAAACGGTGACATTAGTGACAACGGTAAAAACAGTGATAACAGTGACAACGGTGACAACAGTGACAACCGTGACAGCCGTGACAACAGTGACAATGGTGACAACAGTGAGAACAGTGAGAACAGTGAGAACAGTGACAGCTGTGACAACGGTGAAAACGGAGACATTAGTGACAACGGTGACAACCGTGACAACAGTGCAACAGTGACAACGGTAACAACAGTGACAACGGTGACAACCGTGACAACGGTGACAACAGTGACAACAGTGACAATGGTGACAACAGTGACAAGGGTGACAACAGTGACAACCGTGACAATGGTGACAACAGTGACAACAGTGACAAGGGTGACAATAGTGACAAGGGTGATAACGGTGACAACGGTGACAACAGTGACTACAGTTACAACGGTGACAACAGTGACAGTTGTGACAACGGTGAAAACGGTGACATTAGTGACAGTGGTAAAAACAGTGATAACAGTGACAACGGTGACAACAGTGACGACAGTGAAAACGGTGACAACGGTGACAACCGTGACAACAGTGACTACAGTGACAATGGTGACAACAGTGACAACAGTGACAACGGTGACAACAGTGACAGCTGTGACAATGGTGAAAACGGTGACATTAGTGACAACGGTGACAACAGTGACAACGGTGAGAACAGGCACAACGGTGACAACGGTAATGACGGCGACAACATTGACAACAGTGACGAGGGTGAAAATCCACTGTTGTCACTGTTGAAGTGACAACGGTGACAACAGTGACAACAGTGACAACGGTGACAACGGTGACAACAGTGACAATGGTGACAACAGTGACAACGGGGAAAGCAGTGACAACAGAGAGAACAGCGACAACAGTGACAACGGTGAGAACAGCGACAATGGTGACATTAGTGACAACAGCGACAATGGTGACAGCAGTGACAAGAGCGACAACGGTGACAACAGTGAGAACAGGGACGACAGCGACAACAGTGACAACTATGACAACGGTGACAACAGCGAAAGGGGTGACAACAGTGACAACAGCGACATCGGTGACAACAGCAACAACAGTGACAACCAGGATAAAAAGGACAAGTGGGACAACCAGGGCAACTGGGATAACCAGGAGAACCAGGATAACATGGAAGACCGGGAGTCTAGGAAATAGCCAGGAGAACTTGGATAATCGGGTTAAGAAAAACCTTCAGGTAATTTGTTCGAAAATTTGTGGGAAATTTTATTCGAAAGGTTTTTGTAAAAATTTGTGCGGAAGTTTGCCGGAGCAAACTGAATCAATTTCTTGTCAGTTTTTTCACGTTATCGCCAAAAAATAAGATAAGTGACACTTCAAAAAGTTTAAGCATTAATGGTAAAAGGTGAAATGAATATAATTCTTTTCAAATACGCAAACAACAAAAAATACATGAATAGGTAAGAATACAGGCGGGGACACTCATATATACATCATCATTTTCAGTGGGGGATCCAGGGGAGGGGCCCAGGGGCCCCGGCCCCCCGTTATTTTTAGACCAAACTGAGGCCCCCCCTCTCTAAAGGTCTGGATGACCTCCCCCACTCCCCCCGCATCTCAAGGTCTGGATCCGGCACTGATTTTTACTCTCTCGTTAAAACCATGTGATACCTGCACCCGGGATACACTTCATCGTTCTATTATATATGGGGCAGCACTTTACTTTCAATATGGAACCTTACAGAACGGGAAGGGTGAAAGCCAGAAGTTGCAACTGTAGGATACTTAGGCCATCCCCCTTTTTTTACGTTTAGCATCGAATGCGTTTCCAGATGTTGGGTCGGTCGGTAGGATTGAAAAAAAAAACTAAAAAAACAAATCACAACAAGTCTCGGAATAGGAGGACCGGGTACCCCAGGATGACGCTAAAAGGTAACATTCACATATTTGGATTAACAAAATACACAATATACTGTAAAAGATGTTCCTGTTTCTGTTCCTGTTTTTCTCTATGCTGTTACTATGCTCATTTCTAAGATTAAAATAATTATTTCAAGTGAAAATTGGTTTAACTATGTCCTTACTTTTTTAAAAAAAAATGCGAAAAATTTGGATCAGTCGGACGACGCTAAACGGAGAAAAAAGTGAGAATGACCTTAGAAAACCACGCCAATATTTCAGTAGGAACACGAGTACGTGAATTTAAAGGGATCAGGTTATCAACAGCGTGACAGGTTTTAGTAAAAATAGCATATGACTTGTACTAGAAGAGGTGGAGCTGTGTGGATTTCATTTTTTCGAATATGGACGATTAAGATTTATCAGGCCTGCGATTAACCCCGCGTTATCAATAAATAGAAAGTTAAATGGACATGTTGAACGGTTGAAGGAGAGACGAAAATGATAGAGATATGCCATAACGTTGAACACGATACAAGCCGGTAGTTTCTTCGTGGCAAAAAACATGGATTTTGACGAAGGGCTTAATATAACGAAAGAAGCCACACAAAAACTATTGGACAAGTTGGTCTACAGGAAGTAAGTATAGGTCAATGTTACGTATCGATAAATTGTAATTTTTCCTTTTCATGTTTAACGAGCTTCATTCAGGGCGAAGAGAGATTATTCTCCCCTCTGAAGGATTGCTTAAAAATTGGCTCCGAAGCAAATGAACTGTGTAATAAGCCACCAGTTTCAACGTGAGATTATCAATAAACCACCTGTTGAGTACTTAACACACATTAAATAAATTCAACCAAGGTGTCTTAGTACTCGTTTTTTCTTTCAGATGTAACTGCAGCAGACACTTTTTATCGTCATTTGCGGCTCTTGTTTCACCCGCGGGCTGCTCTCGAAGCCTATACAAATCTTTGACCGGACAATACTACTACTCCCCGGCGATACAATTTACTTTAGGCTAAGTTGCTTCTTTTAACTTTACCCTCAAGAAAGCGACTTTTTCGACTAAACTATGATACGTGTCTCCCTTGTTCAACGACTAATATTCGCATATCTACTACAATAAGATAGTTAGCTATGTTCAAATTTCTTTATTGCTGGGTCCATTGCGTTTTAATATTCATACGTCCCGGTGTAGGACTTACCTTTTTTTCGTACACCTAAAGACCAAATAAAATTTCATCCACCCCCTGAAGAATTCCATTGATCTTCAATCTTGGGGGGAGGGATTTTTTTTTTTGCGGGGGTTGGGGGGGTAGGTACGGATATCAAATGCACTAGCCCATTAAGATCCTTTCACCTACTCTTTACCCTGACTTTATTCGTTTTAATTAGACATCCCGCCGCGGTTACCATAATAGAGATCCTAGCAGTTGTTGGTGTTGTCATATGGGCTGCAGGATATCGCCTTATTAGGGTAAGAATCCAGTCATTCAAATATTTTACGCTGCACTTAAAACAGCAATTCTCATTGAATAATTCAATTTCCAATTTCCTCAACTCTGTAAAAAGAAGGAGGATCGTGGCCTCGTTCCCAGGCGTACTTGGTGAGATTGAATTAACGTCACCAGTCAAGCTTTTCGGGAGAACTCGCCAATATGGCGTAGGGATAAAACTGGTTGAGTAAGGACGAATATTGCAAAATCAGGGTCAAACGAGCGCGAACTGCCTTTCCAAAAAAGTTTATCATCAAAGAAAGCCATTTTAGAGGTGATTTAGTATTAAAAGAACTGATAGGCAGTTTTTCCTCATATAGTCTTTTCTATAAATTTTCTACCAAAGCCCATGACTGCCGCGTAGTGCATGATATTTAGGAATTAACTGATCTGGCTGAATAACAGGACAAATTTTCTTTACGACTCGACTGGTCTAACCAGCCACTTCTGAAAAATGCTAAGCATCTCGAAATTACATTTATACATTTTTAATTTTAAACCTATCTTTTATTTTCAGCCATGCATGTTCCTCGCGGGTTTCGCCCTTGGTTTTCTCATATTTTACGTATTTAGTCCATTGGTTTTTAAGACGCAGATTTGCTGTGGACCACATGGGAAGGCGATAGGTCAGTATTGTTGAATGGAAGTCTTCCACTTCGTCCCTTGACTTTTGTAGTCATGAATTTTATGGAAGCCATTGTGGAAAAATGCCAGTTGACATCAATCCCTTTTTGAGAATTTTTGACCAAGAGAGCTTTTCACTCACGTGACGTGCAAATTTATTGCAACAAAACAAAGTTTGTTCATAAAAAAGGTTTAACGTCCATGGGACTGGCTTTGGGCACCAACATGGCCGCCGTTTCATTGTTTGGAAAACCAATATGGCGAACGTCACGTCATGTGAAGATTGCACGACTCATGTCTTGTTGCAACAACGGCTCCCAGTTTTTGAAGCAATCATTGATGTAATTTTTCTTTCACAGCTCATATTTTGTTCAGTGCATTAGCAGGCGTGTTTGGTGGGTTTTTAGGATGTCGCTTGTACAGACTTGGTGTTTTCACAATAGGAGAGTGCTTGGGACTGGTAAGTGAAAGTCACTCACCGCAGAAGGAGTTAATTCGTCATTTTTATACCACAATTATCCAGATCATACCTGAAATCTGTCACTTTAGCATAAACTCATATTATATGTAGCATGTTATTTACTATAAACCCCTATTCGTTTGGATCGAAGGCACTCCCTAAAAAGCCAAACACAGGCAAATTAGGCCACTACCACCTCCCGCTTTTGTCTGAAACTTTGTTACAATTATAAGTAAAAAAATCTGTCTCTAAAGGTCTTAAAGTTTGGACACAGAAGAGAGGTCTTACTATCTGTAATAGCTGGCAAGACTCGTAGAGCCCGGGTCTATCTAAATTTTCTGGATCCGCCCCTGTCCGGGTACTGAAATCTAGGGTTACATTATGTGCAGTTAGTTGATATTTTAACGGGGATTTTCAGCGTTAACGAAAAATTTTGTTTTCACTTTGCATTTTAGATTGTTGGACTGGCAATACTTAGCAGCCCTCTTTACGAGTATTTTCACAGGTACTTACAGGAAGAGTAAGATGGCACAGTACATTAAAAATCAGCATCCGATAATCTTTTCATTCGAGTCTTATTAACTGATTTATTAGTTCGCTCGTTCCGATTGCAATCACAAACTGAGCCACAGCTCGGCTTAGCAGGGTTACATCAGTCATGTTGGAAGTGGTTGTTAAGTACATTTTGGGGTCACTTCCTACCTCTAATTGGTAGCAGTGAATAGGTCCAGATAACATCTTTAACAGAGAACAAATAAGAAACGACCTGCCTGTCGAAGAACATTTAATCCGCGCGCCACTCCCCTTCAACGCAGGAAACTTAAACTCACTTACCCCGTTTCCCCCAGAGTACTAGAGTCATAAGTGAAAAAAGACAGTTTAACTGAAGTATGCGTATTTCTTCTCCTAACAGTAATATTGCATACGCCGGACTTATGGCAGCAACCTCTCTCATGTTCGGATCACTGGCTCATTTCTATGAGAAACCAGTTGTTGTTATAGCAACATCATGTGCTGGAACATTAGCCGTGTTATACGGTAAGGGTGTAGCCTGAGCACCAGGCCTTCCTTAGGGGTGAGGGGACAGGCGATTTTAGAAGCAGGGGGGAGGGGGAAGGGGAGGAACCCTCTCTTCTTCTTTTCCCCAGCAACGCCCTATACTCTGGTTGTAAGCATGATTTAACTTGGACGGTTCATGAATTACAGCTTAGAACGTATCAGCGGATACTGAACTTGGCTTTGTCTGCTTTTTTTCCTTAGGGGTTGATTATTTCTTGCGGACAAGTTTTTCCGTCACAATAGAAAGTTTCCTTTTGCGAATCAAGGACGTTGTTTGGGATGGGTTAAAGTCAGAATTGTCAAATTGGACTTACAGAGCTAAAGCGCCTGCACATCTGGCAGTTCATTTTACACCCAACTGTAAGTAGAAAGGTCTTTAGAGTAGCTGAAAGTTAAATGATACAACATTGTGTAATAAAAGCAACCTCCCATGTAAATGACTGGAATGTATTATAGTACAGGCCGCAGTTGTTCAAAAGGTGGATAACGCTATCCACCGGATAAATCACTATCCACTGGATAGCGCAATTGGTTTCTATAATACGTATCCGTTGGATAGTCATTTATCCGGTAGATAGCGCTATCCAACTTTTGAACAACTGGGGGCAGGTTTCGATCTGGTTAACATCGCCACGCAATGAGAAAGAAACTGGGCCTAGTTAACTTTCGCAAAGACGCCTGGGACTGTTACTACGGGTCTACCTAGTAAAGATCCCAGAACCAACTGCGGGACGCATTTCGGCTCCAGTTCCCTTCTCGACTCTAAAATGGCGAATTCAACGCCATAAAATATTTTAGATCCTTTCATTTCTGACGATCAAAAATGGCAGCGTATTTGAAAGCATTTCGTCTTTCAATGGTTCATTTGACTATTGAGCAATGAGTTCTCCTTTTTTCTCCTTTAGCGATCCCAATGTTTGTTTGCTGGGGTGTTAGTACGGCTTTAGGAGTCGTCATCCAGTACAAAATAACAGCTAACAACTTGAACAGTGGATCCAGTCTTCTTCAATTCTGTAACTGCTGCGACAGACCAAAACCGGACAGATGACAAGACACTAGCTTTTTTTACAAGTGACGATGTCAAGTGAAGACACGAGCAGGTCACGTGCAGTACATTATTCTTTTGATAGAACCTTACAGATCGCAATACACGCAGTCCTTACGTGCAGTGCTCACCACGAGCTCCTCACCAGCTCCTCACCCACATGCATATCACTCATCGACCCGATGCTCACAAGAGACGAGACACATGCTCTTCACGTGCAATGCACACTATTCATGAGTCTAACTTGACGTTTGTCAAGGCATGAGGGTGATCACGTGCATCAAGACACGTGTTTGCATCAAGACAAGAGCTCTTAACTGGCATCGTACAGTACCCTTCACACGTATTACTAGTGACAAACGACAAGAAAAGAACGCGTAACGTCTAGTTCGCACTGTTCAACGCATGACAATCACAATAAACAGCAATTCCAAGCAGTTGATACTATTCTTCACGTGCAAACACTGAAGTTGACAAGAGCATGACACGTGCAGTTCACACCATCCTTCAGACCAAAACACGACAAATAAAACAACAACAGCTGTAGGAGACATTATATACAAACATTGTTTTTGTTATTCAAATTTTTAACGAGTGAAACAATAGAATCTTTTGTTTCAAGAACCAATACGCTTTTGGTTGGCACATTAAGTCAGCGTGTTATCGCTGTTCGCCAGACCCGCAGATAAACGGCAAGTCACGAGCTTTTCACATGTAGCGAAAGCCCACTTGATAAAGACGCAACCTGGTCTTTCAACAAACCTCCACCTGACAGCTATCGCCCATCACCAAGCAGAAAACTAACTAGTTAGAAGAGCAAGTTGAACTTCCAAGCTTCTTTTGAACAAAAGAGGCAAAAACAAGTTTCATAAAAACATTTAATAAATTGCATATTATTTACACCCCCTAGTTACATCTCAAGCTTCAATGTTTCACTGTGTAAAACGAACAAAGAAATCACAGAGAAAAAAAGCATTTACAAATCTGTAGCCAACGTAGCAGGCGCATCAGAGGTATGGGGCGAATGAGCGGTGCCACTCTCGTCCACAGAGCCACTCGCCTATATTGGTAACAAATGAGTGAATCAAAGAGACGATGGACTTGGAGGACGCTAACGGAGTTGTCCTCTCGCCTGCGCGCACTAAGAAGAGGTAGTAAGTTGAAGCGCCATTAATATGACCTCGAAATTATACGATTTCATGAGATTTTCGGGAAGAGCATTTTGAAGGATATAAGTACTCCTCTGTTCCACTGACGTTGTACAAATCCTTCTTAACTTGATTGACCTGGTAAAGAGCGTTATGAACCAAGTCAACTTTGTATGGACTTAACAGAGAAAAACATCGCGTATTACCCATCCGAAACCTGATTTCTGATAAGTAGAGATTTCATCGTGATCTTTCCACATTTCGCAGCAAATTCCGTCTTTCACAACCCGAGATTTGTGACGTTATTCCTATAGGACTTACCAACGCCCCATATTATTCTAGCAGCTGCTACGGAGGTAGACAGATATGAGAGAAAAGTGCCATCCAAATTTGAAAGGAAATTAATTTTTGCCTATCCACCAACCCTACAGTTCGTTATTCAATAATAAATATCCAAGCCAACCACATAATAGTTTCTCTTGAAGGGTGCCAAGCTACCGCTGATATCATTTACGGCCGGTTAATGAAACGGAGTTAAGCTTGTGTTCAACACAACAGTGTTGTTTAGTGAAGCAATGTAAAGAAGGCATACAGTACAGACAAGGAAACCAAGTCAACTAAGAATGAGCCACTTATATACAGATCGGCAATGCTACCGATTGTCGTCAATCATGGTATAAATTAGACCTGATTCAAATAACCCGCCCTCAGATATCGAACTCATTCACTCACACGACTGAAAGAATTTTCCAGACGTCATATGAACAAGTGCTTAAAACCGCTGCCCCCTGTGTATAAATTTTGCAGTACAAAAAGTCGATTTTCTCGATTCACGCGTATTAAGTTAACATAGATTTGATATAAATCCCACCTTCTTGTCAGTATTAAGTTAACATAGATTTGATATAAATCCCACTCCTTGTCAGTCGCCCCGGCTATTTCCCCTTTCCTGCTCAACAAATTCCTTGTGATCGGGAGAACAATCATTAAGGGCAAAGAACAAAACAGTTTACGCGCAAAACAACCTATCGCGTCGTTGTGCTGTAGTTCCCGGACATCTGTAGCTAATATAAGCCAATACTAATATATTTGCTGCTCCTTCGCCATCACGAGCAGCAACTAAAGACAAGTGCTTAAAAATTAATCAGTCAGTTAAAATTGCACACACCATTGGACAAGGTACTTCACATAATGTTCCGAATGCAGTTTCTCGGTGTCACGAATAATGGCGTTCACCAAATGACGTTACACAAAATGCTGAAATGACATTAAACAATACTTTCAACACAGCACAACACCGAACCAAGCATAGTTCACCGCAACACCAAAAAACACCCCCATTTGAACCCCGTTGTGCTAAATAGATGGCTTTAAAAAATACAGCCAATTACAGACATTTCTTCCATTTTGTTACGACTGGTAGTTTCACAACTTTTCGTCGGCTTCGTTGTGCCTACCTACCATGAGCATGCTCACTAACGTAACGGACCTTTTTACATAAATCATGGTACTCTACAATTCGCTTCATCTTCAAATCTTATCACAATATTTTGTTGCGTAAGCCGTTTTCTATGTTAGTTGCCGTCCAGTTTCGACTCAACAGTATGGGTTATTTCGCTTTAAAGATTTGTCCAGTCGATTGAGAGCAAGTTTCTGTTCGACTCCAAGCAATGAGCCACCTCCTCCGCCACGGAGTGAGTTAGCCACAGTTTCTCCAGCTTTTGATAGCGACTGGGACAGAGGTACAGAGGATTGCCGCGCCTAAAAACAAACACCACAAATAAAGAGAATCCAGTTGAAAAGGACGAAAATAATGTTTATCCCTTTGTTGAATCCAAAGTCCGCTCCGATTTAAAAAACCCTGGTCACTGCACTTTGTCAAGTGCTGAATGAATTTAAATGAACAAGTCATTATCACAAGGGAAGATAACAATCTGAGAGAGAAAACAGATAGAAAAAAAGGGCACAGAAATTTTCATGTCAAAGCTCGATCTTAAGTAATGACCGAGAACATGAATTTATCATGGCTTTGCACCTAGATACTTTCTAGCGTGAATTCGCTCAACATAACGTGATAAATTCTGCTTGACACAGGTCTTGAAGACTATCAGAATAAATATTTCGGTGGAATCATGCAAGTTGATCAAGAAATTTATGGAGTTAAGCTATCAACTCAGTTCACTCTCTTCGGTAACGGAAATTTCTGTCAAAATTATGTTTCCGTGCACGCACTCTTTCTAAATGCTTTCGAGATCATTTCTTTTTGCACGGTTTCTCCTTCTACAAGATGTACCGGGTTTTCTTTGAAAATTGAATTTCTCTCCCTCTTGTTCCGTCAAAATATTCAGTGACTGCGCTCTAAAAAGATACACTACGTTACCTCAATCCCTGATCTGTCTCGCCGTAGGCATCCAAATAAGGAGGTAAGTAAAAACATCCTTTGTTCTTATTGGCCATCAACAATATCTGACATTCACGCACGCGCAGAAACACGCCCACTCCTGCACCACACTTCTGCGCATGTGCAGCACAAGCGCCCACTTTGTAACCTCCCAGGTCCGTTTGGCAACAATAGCTTTGAGAACACAGCATCTCACCGCAGATCAAACAGAGTGCAGGCGCACGACTGTCGTCGCCATCTGAATTTGGGCATCTAAACAAGAACGACAACTGCTCAATTTTGCGCCTTTTGCAGATTTATTATGTATAGATTGATGACCATAAGGCATTTCGTGCGCTTTAGGGATTTTATCCGTTCCTAAAAGAACTTAACTTAGCCTCTGATTATATTCAAAGGCTGTTGACCATATCCGTGGATACTTTGATACGCGGCTCTTACAGTGCACACTAACACTCAGTCACGATCACGTACACAACCTTCTTCAGTCCTCTACTGAAAAAGCGTTTAAATTTCTATATCAGTTCAAGTCTGCGCGCAATAGCATCAGTTTTTTCGTGTAAACTGAAGGGGAAAAAGCGTGCGCAATTCAATTAAATCACTGACTAAATGAACTTACGTAAACATCGACGCTTTGTTGATAAGCTCGCTGTAGTCCAGGGGAATCTTCAGCAAATGATTTGATTTAATAGAATACCTACAAACAAAGACAACAGTCAGAGAAGTGACAGGATACTTACAATCCTGAGTTTGGTTTCTGTAATCTAAACTCACCCGAGTGATTCCACTCCTGCAGTTGCCAAAGTTTTCCTAACATGTTCATGACTGCACCATCTGATATGAGAAAAAAAAGACCAATTACATATTTGTGTTCTACAAACGTAACGTCGCCGAGTGATGACGAGGCCATGAAAACTTCAAAGCAATATACATCGTACTTTATACCAGTTCTCTTATTTTGCAAGGAAGCTAACCTTTTAACAACCGTGGAGATTGTCGATGAAGTGATTGAACCACTATCTTGACTCCACTGCAATAAACTAGTTATGTTTGTAGGCACGGAAAGGTATCGGCACAGGTTCTCCAGCTCCTCTGACCTGGACGGTTGGATGAGGCCTGGGAAAGAGAGATTTTTGCATTGACAAGGGTTAGAAAATAGTGAACTTACCCAATAGGACGGTAGAGTAAGAAAACCGGAAACCTTGTGTGACAAGCGTGACAATAATTTTGTTTGAAAAAAATTTTCCTCCAACCTCATCTTCCTTTAAACAGATCTTTTTGTAAAAGACCAAGAAACAACATTGATATTTAGTGAAGATCACGACAGGACATGCACGTAATAGCCCTGTCACGTTTGTCACACACAACCGTTTTGCCTTCCTCCTCTTTCTGCCGTCCTGTTGCGTAAACTCACTAATAACCTAAAGGTACGGTAATACAGATAAAAAAAAAACGTG